GGTATATGGTGGCAACCACCACCTCACGGTGGTGGTGGTGGTGACTTCTTTTCCAGATTCCGGCCAGTGGTTGCTTACACACACTCTACATTGTACACACTGCGCTACACATAAACCCTTTTTGCTCAGAAAATAAACCCAACACCTATCTATGGTGGGCGGCGATGGCAGTAGCATAGGAAACGGGCGACAGCAGCAGCAACATGGCATTCGACCATAATAATCAGCGGCACAGCGACGACCATGACAGTTGGCAGCCACCCACATCGATTCGTGGCATGATGGAAGAAACAACGGAAAAACGACCGCCCTTCCACGATCCCCATCATCCTTAGCGTCGTTCATGGTGGTTCCTCTGATTGCTTACGTCGTCCGACGGCTAGAGTTGGTGAAAGAAAGAAGGAGAAGGGAAACGGTGGAGGTGTGGCAGCAATAGCGGCTGAGTCTCAGTGGTTCCCAACAGCCAGTAAACCCCGACAGTCGTGCTCTCATTCCGACGTAGAGATTTTCTCCGGTCGTGGTATATGTCAGCGGTCTTGGTTAGTCGGAACGACAAAGGAGGTGAACAGTGGCAGCTGGAGGGAGGTGGGGTGACGGATGCAACATAAGTTGTTTAGGGTTAGGGTTTGACGGGAATGAAAGGGTTATATACCTGACTCTCATACAAGTTCAACCCATAATGACATAAATGGCCCTTCCTTCTCCAATTTCTTTCAAAACAAACCAACAATTTACCCTTTTAACCCCAGCCATTCAAAACCCTTTCAAATTAAGCCCGGTATTTACTCTTTAACCCCTGCTTCCATAAATTATTTTATATTAAGCCCAAATGATACCAAATAGCCCCTCCTCTACGAAAACTTTTCAAAATAAGTCCCGAAATAACACCTTAACCCTCCGAAACTAACATCCTGATAATTATTATTTGATTTTGGACTATAACAATATAAAATAATAATAATAATAATCACTTCTCGGGTTCCGGATTTATTATTTAATTATTCTATTTTAAACGGGATGTTACAGTAAGTTATATAATTATGTGCTCATTACGTACTATGCTTCTAATAGTATTTTATGATTAACTAATTTCAACCTTTCGTGTAGCTCTACATCCCAATCAATATACCATTTGCTCACTGATTTTTAGGTGCTTTGGATTTGAAAACATTCAAAATGACTATATACGATAGTCATTGGAAGAGCATATATTTTTCAGAAGTAGATGAATGGTTTATAGGTATGTGAGACCACATCCACAGACTCCTAGTGAGTATCAACTGCTGGGGTACTAAACAAACCGATGCAATCCTACTTGAGAGTTTCAACATGACCTTCGAAAATGCCATAGACGTACCACAACAAATTGAGAGTAAAGAGGATTGTGGGGTATTTTTATGTTGGTTCCTGAAGATGTTGATCGCCGAGAAATCATATTTTATAGAGACTAAAAGCTATCCATGGACAATGTTATATCGTAAACGACTGATATAATTTTTTTTGGAGTACAAGGATAGAGACTATTTAAACCATATAATATTACTTTAAACAAATCATTTAAGTTTATGTATTTATTAGTTTTTTTTGTTTTACATTTGCATTTTAGATTTTACAAAAACAAAACTTATACAAAAAGAATCAAAACATATTTTACACACATACAAACAAAAAAATAAAAAATAACTAAAATAAAAATAAAAAAACCTATTCCGGAACGACTATCTAGAGTACTACTTCGGTGTTCTGGAGACCTCTCCGGAATGTTAACAACATACATCTAATCTAATCTCTTGTAAGCTCGATTTGTTCCCTCTTAATGGTTCCATTAGATTGAGGAGTTCGAAATAAAATGTTGCGAGTTATTTATTACTTGGGGAGAATGACTTAGGAGGGTAACTACCTTTTATCCGTGTTCACATATTGACAACTTCTTCTTTTTTGTATATAATAAAGCAACTAACTTGTTTTAACTGTTTAAATTACACCAATATTACCGACTAATACCTGTTTTAACCGGTAACTCAAAGGGAAAATGACTTAGGAGGGTAACTACCTCTTATCCGTGTTCACATGTTGGCAACTTCTTATTTTTTGTACATAAGAAAGCAACTAACTTGGTTTAACTGTGTAACATCCCAAAAATCATGACCAAAAATTTCGTTTTTAATTTAATACTAAAACCATAATTGTCAAACCATTAACTTAATACTCCGGCATTGGGTCCTGCCCGACATCAGGCCCTGTCTGGGATTGAGTCCCGCTCGGTATACAGATCTGTCTCTCTCTAGGCCCCGCCCACTAAACACATGCAATCATATAACATGCTAACACATAAAGAACATACTCTACCGTATCCCTGTCCTAAGAAACATACTCTGCTAATAATAAGATATGAAACTTCGTCCGTACTCAACTAGTTCCAGCCAGGGCTTCAGCAGTGCAAAGTGAGTCTCCTCACTGTGTGAATGGGTCTAAGGCCACAATGTCAGCCCATGTAGTCTATGAGTAGGAAGACCCGGGGGTTAGCCCTAGGCATTGTATTCCAGACCAAGGTCCGATGTCGGGCGGGTGCCCAAGGAATGTTTGCATGTTAGATTATACTTGTTGTCTGTGTGATACTTGTATGTGCCTGGTAAGGAGGTGAGTGTGGGTGAGGTCCCATATCTCATCACTAGCTGAGTATGGACGATGTTCCGTATCTCATTATTAGCAGAGTATGTTTCTTAGGACAGAGATATAGTAGAGTATGTTTCTTTATGTGTTAGCATGTTATATGATTGTATGTGTTTAGTGGGCGGGGCCCGGAGACAGGTGAGGCCTAAGAGAGACAGACATGTATACCGAGCGAGGCTCGATGTTAGGCAGGGCCTGATGTCGGGCAGGGCCCGATGTCGAAGTATTAAATTAATGGTTTGACAATTATGGTTTTAGTAATATATTAAAAACGAAATTTTTTATCATGATTTTTGGGATGTTACACAGTCAAAGCAAGTTAGTTGCTTTCTTATGTACAAAAAATAAGAAGTTGCCAATATGTGAACACGGATAAGAGGTAGTTACCCTCCTAAGTCATTTTTCATTTGAGTCACCGGTTAAAACAGGTATTAGTCGGTAATATTTGTGTAATTTAAACAGTTAAAACAAGTTAGTTGTTTTATTATGTACAAAAAAAGAAGAAGTTGCCAATATGTGAACACGGAGAAAAGGTAGTTACCCTGCTAAGTCATTTTCCCTTATTACTTGTCACAAAAGCTACTAATTGCATTACATTCTTATGTTCTCTACAACCGTCTACACGAATAGATATTGGATAATGACTTAAAAAGGTAATGAAGTTTTAAAAATGTACAAAAAATACCATTATGTTATTTTTAGTACTCAAAATACCATTAAAGTATATTTTTTATACACAAAATACCAATGAAGTACACATGTGTTCAAATAATACCTTGTGGGTAACCTACAATAGCCGGTAAAATGGTATTTTGTGTACAAAAAAAAAACAATGGTCTTTTTTGTACATTTTTGAAACTTCGTTACCTTTTTAAGTCGTTTTTCCTTCTTTGAATGTAATGGAAATTTAGTTACTTTTTATAAAGATTCCCCCACTTCACTTCGACCACTACTGTTGTTCATCGCCACCCTCCACCACCATGGCAAAATCATTTTTCTTATTCTTCCTCCTAATCATCTGCCTACTTTCATCAACGCCGGAATCTCACCGGCCACCTCCGTTTCTCGGCAAATCCCCACGGCTTCTCAAAACCAAAAAATTCTTGTTCAGCCGAAGTACACTTACGAGACACGATACTTTGATCAGACTCTTGAGCATTTCAGTTTCAATGATCTTCCCAAGTTCCAACTACGTTATCTCATCAACTCCGATCACTGGGTGGGCCCAGGCCCTAGTCGTTTGGGACCAATCTTCGTTTATTGCGGTAACGAAGGCGACATCGAATGGTTCGCTGCCAACACCGACTTCGTTTGGGAACTCGCCCCTCGTTTTGGTGCCATGGTCATCTTCCCCGAAGTAAAAGCCCTAATCACTCTACTCTACATTAATTTGTTCACTTGCAGACCTTTAATAATACAATTTTATCAAAAGCTGCGTGATTTGATCTAGCATCGATATTATGGTGAATCGATGCCATATGGAAGCCAGAAAGAGGCATACAAGAATGCTTCTACTTTAGCCTATCTAACAACCGAACAAGCACTTGTTGATTACGCTCTTCTCATCACCGATTTGAAGAAAAATTTATCAGCCGAAGCATCACCTGTAATCTTGTTAGACTGATCATACGGTGGAAGTAAGATCATTTCCAACAATTTCAACAAAAATTAAATAAGCACTTGTTGATTACGCTCATCTCATCCCATTTACCTGAAGTACCTGGTTACCATAATATTTTAGTTGAACACATTTGTATTTTATTGGTATTCTGTGTACAAATAGTAACATTAATGGTATTTTTTGTACTAAAAAAACAACAATGGTATTTTTTGAACATTTGAAAACCGGATAACCTACAATAGACAGTAAAATGGTATTTTGTGTACAAAAAAAAATAATAATGGTATTTTTTGTACACTTTTGAACTTCGTTACCTTTTTAAGTTATTATCCCAATAGATATTGACCATACATCCTCCTTGTTTTTGAATTCGTTTACCCAACACCTTTATATTTTTCCATGCTACATATTTATGTTTTTTAAGTCCAAACGTGCCAAAAATGATCAACAATCACTAGACTCTAAAAATTACTCCTATAGCATTAGACTGTCAAGAGGCCGAAAAGGCATATGCACAGTAATTCTAACACTCTTTTGGTTAAAAGCATTATTTTGGCGACAAACTTGCTTGTCTGTCTACACATCAAACATCACAAAAACATCTTTTCATACAACCCGCTTATAAAATTAAAATTGAATTATAAAGCAATATGTTACATTGTACAACCTAAATCGATAAAAAAAAAAAAAAAAAAAAAAAAAAAAACCGATATTTCAAAGTTACTCTTTGCCCCACAAGACTATCATGTTAGATATAAATAAGATACAATCCACAAAAAGAGCCAAATCCACATCAGATTAAAACTCCTACGATGCAAGTATATTCAAAAGTCTCATTTGAAAAAAAAAACATAAATCTACTACAACATCTTGAAAGCACAACCACAAAATGCTATCGAACACCCAATTTAGGGCATCCATTAGCAAGAGGCAAGTCCAAGTTCTCAATTGTCCTAAATGTTCTTTTCACCATTTTGTCGACATACAAAGTTCCCTCTAAATGATCACACTCATGTTGTAAAATACGAGCCTTCCATCCACATGCATCCACCTTCATGGGCTTCCCATCTCGACCTAAACCCCTTACCTCTACCTCTACAAACCTTTCCACCATTGCTCTATATCCATCAACACTGCAAAAATCATGCCATCAACAAAGAATCATCACAATTTCCAATGTGTTTCATTGTTCAATTACTCAAATCCAACTTACCTTAAGCAGCCTTCGTAAAAGAATGCAGATTTGTTGCTCTTCTTTCTAAGTATTGGGTTTAAAATAACCTAATTTGTCAAGAATACAGTTAGAAGAATTTGGATTCATAAGGTAAGATTTTGGAATACTCAAATTTGTTGGTGAATTGGGATACCAAAAGATCAAAAGGACGTCTGTCTTGTGCCTTGTTCTCTTCCTCTGGTGCATGAGCGATGTATTCTTTAAGATCCTCTAACACAATAATCTGATTATGAATTAGTTTTTGGTTACAGACGAATGATAATGGCGTAAATTGACATTAATTTGGCGTGAAACATGAATTCAAAAGCCAAATAGGAATGGAAGTTGTATAAAATGATCATTGGAAAACTGGAATTTCGATTAAAAAAACTGACTTTTAAAGGAATGCCAATTTGGGGAGCAGCAAGGCCAACCCCAGGTCGTCTCCTCATCACCTGCACCATATCATCAATAATCTTCTGGATACGATCCGACCCGATTTCTTCAGGCGAGACTTCTCGAGCGGGTTGGTGAAGAACCGGGTCACCGGCTTTCACGATACAGGGCAAATCTATAACCTTCTTCTTCTTCACCAACCCACCTAACCAACTTGATGGATTATGAACAGTGGAAGGAGAGCTGAAACCTCTACTAGCCGTGATGAAGTCCGCGTTAATGGCGGGGTTGGAGGAAATAGTTTTATTTTGGGATTGGGCAATTAGGGTTCTAGTGTGAAGAAACGGAGTGGTTCTGCCGAGCCTGAAACATTCACCGGTGAGTGGCTTCGACGGGATACGTTGCGACAGCCGTCGCATTACCTCCATCACCATTGATTGAGTAGCAATTCGGCGCTGGCATCGTAGCATTTTCATTAACCGGATCATACATTTGGGCCTAAATGATTTAACCCAAGATCTCTAATAGACAAATCCAATTACTCATTTTTGGGTGGATATATTTAGTCATTTAGGAGTTTAAAATGACTTTTATCTAAAAGGATCTATGAGGGTGGAAAAAATAGTTTTTTTAAAAAAAATGTTTGGATTAGTTTTTAATGGTAAAAGTCAATAAGTCGATAAGTTAAAAAATGTTTGGCTAACTTATTGACTTTTGCTTGTTTTTTATTCTAATAAGTCATAAGTTATTTTAAGAAGTTACAAATTGTAACTTCTTCAAAATTCATTTTCAAAGACTAAACCAAAAGTCATTTTAAAAGTTCTTATTAACTAGGGAAGAACCCCGCTTTGCGGGGTTGGAAGCACCCAAGAAGACGACATGATTGGAAATAAAAGTATGTTGCTACTTCTTGCAAATAGACCTTTTACTTTATCTATACATCCAACAATAAAGATGGATTCATATCATTTCATTAAAAATTCCGATGTCTTTTCTTGAGAAGATAAGACCAAGAAGTTGAGGATATCCTCACACAAACATGAAATCATCATCAAATTCAGATCCTAAAGAAGTAGACACCCTTTTGGACCAAAGTTATTGTTTTCATTGCTGCTCTGCTTATAAAAACAAATGAGACATAATAGATTATTAACACTCAGGAAAGTAACCAAAACGTATAACTATTCGCTTTCTATGTTCTTGAAGCCTGAGTAACTGTTACATGGGTATATACTTCATACACAAGTCGCAAACTTTTTTGGAATATGTAAGCAAATCTAGGTCCACTTTGACAGGAAAAATGGTCAAACTCAAAGTTGGTCAAACTAAACATTGTAAAAGTAGAAATACTTAGTAAACTCTTAACAAAAAATAAGTTGCTTCCAGAATATAATATTTTTTTTAATATTGGCAGAAATCCTGAAAATAACCACAAAAGAACAATTATGGAATGACTAAATGTGCAAGTTGTTGTATTCAAGTCTCTTCTACAAATTGGCCATGCAATCGAGTCCATCACCGCCACCATCATCCTAAATACATACGAAAACTAAGATTACAATCCACATGAAATCCAAATAAAGAAAGTTGTGAAGTCTATTTTTTATAGTCATGATATCACATGTATATGAGAATAAGTATATATTGTACTTACTCATTCTACATGTTAGACAGTTTATTGAGGCGCTTAAAGACTTTTTACCAGTACTTAATACAACGGTTTGTCCTTGCCAATCAATGAATCGCCAATGAACCACTTGAATGTTTAGTAGCCATTACTACTTATCACAACTAATTTATATTAAACAAAAACAAAAAGTATAAAAACCAAGAGAAATTTGAGAAAGACGTTAACAGTCCATTAGCAAACCTCTAAATTGATATGTTTCGCAACATATTATAACTGGACATTATTTCTTTTGTGTTAATGAACTTTAATAGGACATAACTTAATAAGTTAAATTATATGCCAGTTTGTAACTTGCAGAAAAAATTAATAATATACCTTCAACTAACAAATAGATTTCCGTCATAAATGGATGCGATACATGGTATTTTTGGATTAGAAAGGGAAAAAGACAAGAACTACAAACATACTTCATTGATAAGCGACATCTGAAACGGTTAATCGAGGTTTGGCCGGCTGCAAATTGAAGTTAAATATTATCAACAAACGAAGTGTATAAGAAATTCGTTACCCTATAAAAAAAATTAAAAGGATCATGTCTGATTCTTGAACTAAAAGGGTAAAAAGATTTATTTTAGTTTACCAATGACATTATAGGCATTAGCTAGATCAAACAGAACCATGGTTTCTTTCCCTCTTACCTTGCCCGATCACCCAACACAACCAATGAACAAAACCTGCAAAAAATGTATTAGTCGGTTGGTCCCAATTTGTAACATCCCGACTCCAAGAGTGCAAGTTCGGGGTTCAAAGTGTAAATTTGAAGGGCAACTCGGCGAGTCCATGGGTGGACTCGGTGAGTAGGGTCGCGACTCAGGTCACGTGTTAAGTGGCCAACTCGGCGAGTCCAAGGCTGGACTCGGCGAGTAGGCGCTGAGTGAAGAAAACTCTAATTTCAGGGGATGAGCCCTATATAAAGGACATTATACCCTATCCCCGGCCTCCTTACCTTCCCTTGAAGTCCAGAAAACCCTAGAAGCTTGATTGTGAAGGATTTGAGTGCATTTGAGCTTTGGAGAAGAGATTTGGAGGAAGATCTTGGAGAGTTAGGAGGCTTGGAGCAAAGGGCTTTGCTTAGATTCGGATTTCCTTGTTGTTGGGGCTTCCTTTTGAGGTATTATCTTGTTTTTGGGCTGCTATTCATCTAGATTCACCATTTTGGGATGTGTGGGAAGTTTAGCTTGTGGTATTTAGAGTTTGAAGGTTAGATATGAGGTTGCTACCTCAGATCTGGAATGGAGAAGGTCTAGAGTGCATTAAAGTCCCTGTTATTGAGTGTTTGGTGAAGCCATCTTGTCCCAAACCCTAGCCCTAGAGTGTAAAATGCCTAGATCTCTTTGGATTCATGTAAAGTTTGCCACTTTACGTGATGGAAGGGTTGTAGAAGGGTAGATCTACGTTTTGGATTGATTGCGTGGCCTGGAAGGCTTCTGTATGGGTTAAGAGCTAATGGTACTCGGCGAGTCACAAGGGTGTACTCGGCGAGTTGCTTGAAGGCGGGCAGGAACTCGACGAGTTGGAAGAACAACTCAGCGAGTTGGTTGAAGATAGCCTTGGACTCGACGAGTCTGTTCTTGGATTCGGCGAGTCTGGTCTTGAGGTCTTAGCCTTTCCTGGTTAAGCTAAGAATCGGTGAGTCAAGGGATGACTTGGTGAGTTGAAATGGGTCCTTTTCAGGGTTGGAGGACTCGGCGAGTCACCGGGATGACTCGGCGAGTAGAGTCAGCCATAAGGTTGACTTTGACTTTGACTTTGACCAAGAGTTGACCAGTTGACTTCTAAGGGCATTTTGGTAATTGTTGGCTTTTGTTTTGAGTTCAGTGTTGGTACTACCCAATGGTGGAGATCGTGTTGTGGTCGGAGCATCTCGGTCTTATCTTTCCAGTCAGCAGTTGCGAGGTGAGTTATCCTCACTATATCAACATGGTCTAAGGCACCAAGGTCGGCCCTTTATCGGATTGTAATCCGGGTATTGTTGTTATGTTGTTGTTTTACTATGTTTGCATCCTGGTAGTTAGGATGGTATTCGTTAGAGACCTAGTTAAGGTCGGTATCCTGGTATATAGGAAGATGCTATGCTAGCGACTGGTTAGGTCGGTATCCTGCTTAGAGTATGTTGTGTTACGTGATCTGCTAGATCGGCTTGATTGAATGTGAATTATTATATGATTGTATGTTTATGTGCACATGGTTGTTTGACTGGAGTTGGGTTGAGGTGGGACCTGCTTTGTGCTGTAGGCCAACATACCGAGGGCAGACCGGTTATTCCGAAGGCCCAACGAGCGGTCCGGATAAGCTGTAGGCCCCACGAGGGCAGACCAAATGTGTTGAGGCTCGGAGAGTGGACCAGGCCAACTGAAGGCCCGATGCGGGCAGACCGGTCATACTGTAGACTCAGAGAGTATACCAGGTGGGTTGAAGGCCCGGTGCAGGCGAACCAACCACACTGCAGACTCAAGGGACATGACTAGACTCGGAGGGTGGACCAGGTGGACTGAAGGCCCGACACGGCGGACCAGTCACACAGTAGACCCGATATGCATGGCTGTTCTGCGATTTGTTGTGATATAGCATGTTGTGTGTGTGGTATATGTGGTTGGTATTTTGGGGGTATCTCACTAAGCTTTCGGGCTTACGGTTGTTGTTTAATATTTTTCGGGTCTTCAGGAGACTGTGGCAAGGCAAAGGTGTGATCGTACCGCTCCTCGTGTTTATGTTTTATGATATGGTTCTGGGAATACTCTGATAATAAATGTATTGAAAACCTTTTTGTAATAACATTATTAAAATGGGTTGTTTTTGAAAAGTTAAAAATTGTTGAAATTTTTGGTCGTTACAAGTTGCTATCAGAGCCTTGGTTTGAGTGAATTGGAGGAACATTCGTGTGAATCCAGTCTCAAATCAGGGAGAGTTTTTAAAAGAGAATTTAAAATGGTTTTCAAATTAAGTAAAAGGAGGACGCGGAGGTACGATCAGCCGGAGCCAGTAAGTAACGCCAAAATACCATATATGATATTTGTTTTCGAGCTTTGATAGAACAACATGCTAGTACTAGGCTAGGGATCTTCAGGATTTCATGATAATGTTGCCTGTCTTATGATGCCTGCTAGCCTAGGGTTTCCCTCAATATGAGATTTCCAGTGTTCCTCTAGGACTGAGGATTGAGCGCTTGTTATGTATATTTGTCACTAGGGTGTTGTGGTAGTACTTCATACAAATATGGGTAGGTGTGGAAGGTAGTATGGGCCCATACTACTGAAAGCATAGGACCCATACGTGTATCAGGGAAACCATGACCTCTAGGGTTGAGTTGGGAGATGGTTCTCGGGTTAGTGGGAAGTATCTTAGACTTTGTGGTGTATTTCAGTATGGTGGTCACGAGGCATGCTGGGAGTGGATTCGGGTTGGGATCGGGAGTAGGAGAAGGAGGTCAGGGCAGGTCAGTACTACCCGAGGTTGTTGCTCAGATGAGCACGGGCGAGTTGGATGCTAGGATTCGTGGCATCCTGCACGATAAGGTTGCTGCGTTGTTTCGGGCCGAGCTGCCGGAACTGTTTGGGTCGATCAAGACCGCCATGGTTGAGTATTTTGATGAGTGTTATGTGGATCTCGCAGAGACGGCTGCCACGGCAGCTAAAGCGGCTGTAGCAGCGGCAGGGGGAGGAGCTGGTAGAGGTTTCCAGTATCGGGACATTGATAATACGAAGCCCCCTACTTTTGATGGAGTTCAGGACCCGATTGTTGCTATTAGATGGTTATCAGACATGGAAGGGTGTTTCTTCATGTGCTCATGCCTTGGTGATCAGAGGGTGAGGTGTGCCCTAAACCTGTTGAGGCTTGGGGCAAAGGATTGGTGGAGATTGACCACGGGGTCATATTCGGATGCA